GACAGAGTGCTTCTGTCTGAAGCATTTATTATTCTCTGTTGTTATAAGGAACTGAAGATTCTTAATACATGAAGGGAATTCCAAGGGAATCAGAGATGGAAAAGTGAGAAAATCCACTCACTGCATTTTAAGAATGTGCTTTCCTTCTGTGCAAGATTTTACTCTCTTTGTATTCAAGATGTGAACTGCAAAGGGGAAGAATCAAAACTAAAACTGAAGGAAACTGGCACAAAAACAAAGAAAGGAATAGAGAATTCTTGTTTTAAAAGACAAAATAAGTAATTCTATAACCCACAAAATAAACCCTGAAAGAAGCTGCAACTTAAATCTATTACAACCTGAGAAGGTCCTTTTAAAGCATGAAAATTCCAAAGATGAAAGTGATTGCTTTTAGCTCATTGCCACGGCAAGAAAAGCTTCTGTGATTCAGCCTGGGTACAGGTCTGGGAGCTGTTTCCTTTTGGGCATGAAGTGGTTCCTTCATACCTTTACTGCTGAAAATCTTGCATACATGAAGAAAATTGTACAAGTGTCCTTGGAGAGTATAGGCAGATATAGCTATGTGCTGCCATTCCCACCCTGTTTGGGATGATCAACTGTCCTGATATTTGAGTATGCTGTTTCATCCTCCCTTTTTCACTGAGCAAATCTGGATCTCAGCAATGATTCTGCATAGAAGCAAGAGGGCCACTGGTCCAAAGAGGGCCCTTTCCTGCCACTGAGCCCCTTCCTATCTATGCATTAAGAACAGCCAAATTAGTACTGATAAATTAACTGAGATAATGATAATGATAATAAAACCTATAGAGTCCAGAATGCTTTGATGTCGAGGGCTGTGACTGGGGCATACTGTGAGTACCTCTCTTCTCGGTTCCTTATAGTCCTTGAGGTACTGCTGGTCTGAACATATACCCTGTACTCCTGCAATGATTCCATCCCCAAAGCTTGCCTGAACTAGGCATCTGGGACCAAGCAGAAGGAAATACAACTATGCACCAAGAGGAATTTGCTGACTGCAGAGATTAGCTGAAATCTAAAAAACGTGGAATAAAACTGGGACTGACCTGGCCTAATCCATAAAAATAGTTCTCCCTTGGCATTCCAGGCATCCCCAGCTTTCTTTCACCATACCTTCCTGTACAGCAGCTGCACAATTCTGACCTGACAAGCCCCTAAAAATAGCATGTAGAAATAGGGAAACTCACTGCCTAGCATCCCTGGAAAAATATCATGAGGCAGCAAAGCATGAAGAGTATGCTGTCTGCTTTGAAATCCCAGAAACTAGCTCCTTCTGGATGTTTTATTGTGAATCAAAGACCTTGTGAGGTGCTCACAATTTTGTTGTTATATTATCATGAGATCTTCAGGGAACAGTTCTCCAGTTCTTCCTATTTTAAGGCTCTATGGTCTTCAGACTCTCTTCCATCACCTGAAATCCCCAGTACATACAATTTAAGTTGACAGCTCTTGATAAACCATCATTATATCTTGGCTGGATACCCAGCCTAGTGAATCATGAAGCTGCCAAATCTTTTTATTATGAACAATTTCTCAAACTTCAGTGGGAATAATGAAGAAGACAGACCTAAAATCCCTGCTTGGAAATGAGTAAATACCTCAAGCACCACACTTGCCTTAAGCAAGTCTTGTGAAATACAGGAGCCATTTGTAAACACAGATCAAAAGAAAAGCTTCCAAGTTTCTTCTCATTTTCTCTGAGAATAGGGAAGATTGAAGTGGGCTCTCTCCTGATACATGGTAGCTGCCCCACAGACATTCAGGGGTGCCTTTCCAAAGTAGATGCAGATTGATTTGCTTCTCCAAGACCACCACAAGGATGTAATTCCCACTTTTTACCTGAAGCAAAGGAACAAACTGCTTGACATTGAGCATCAAGTCTAATCCAGTGAGAAAATAACTGAAATGTGAACAAGTCCCAGTAGAGTCATGTACCCTAGCTCCACTGACTTTCAAATAGTAGCTCTGCCCCAGGCGTCCCTGTGTCCTTACGAAATTTCCACACTGAACACCTATTTCTACTGCCACCATCTTCCACAACAGGAAACAGGTTGGGGAAGAGAAGAATGGACCATCCCATACAGCAGGAAAACCTGGTTAATATGTATGTGCTGGGATGTGTGATGCAACAGTACCTGCATGGGTCAATGTGAAGCCTTCTTTGATTTAGCAGATCTAAATGGAGGTTTTCTATATGGTGGAACATGAGCAACAGAGTCACTGAGGTCTCTGTTCAACACTTCCCAGGGCTTGAATGTAAGAAATGCAGTGCAGACACTGGGAGAGCTCTTGATGTTTCAAGCTGGACAATAAGCAATAGTAATACCATGCTTCCCTAATTATAAAGGAAAAAATACATTTATTTTCTGCTGTCCCAGTGGTTCAGACAGAGTGGGTTTAACAGTTTGGCTCCATGATACATGAAATACCAATATTCCTTTCCAATTGGGTTGGCTCCAGAATCAGAATTAGTGCTTTTGGCTGGCAGTGTCTGATCTAATTGACCCTAGTGGATGGTACTGACTTGTACAAGACATTCACAGTCAGACAGTCCACCTGTGGGTAAAGAGGACTTGACTACAGCTGTGTAGTCTGCTGGCTTTCAAAGACTTAATTTTTATGTGCAGGGCACTGTACTGAGGGGCTTATTCTTCACTGGACTACAGCTGTTCTGTCAAATAGAAGCATTACCTTTATCCACCACTTGGCTTTTGTGGTCTCAAGGCCTAAGACCTAAAAACTAGAGTCCTTGTAGGATAAAGGGAGCATATTTTAACTCTTTAGCCAGTATTGAGGATTATCAGCCTGTAAATGTTACGAATTAACATTATTTCAGCAGCATAGTACATGAAGTGCACTGTATGGGTATATTTCAGTTCAGAGCACACAGTATTTCATATTCCAGACCTGAATTGTGCTACTGGTCACCTCAGAGACTTCGTATGGGTTCTGCATCTGCTGCTCTGGCATTGTTCACCTTTCAGCAACAGACACAATGCCCCAAAATGTCATAGGAGTTTTGAACTTTAGAGGGGACAACCAGGAAGGGAGAGAAAGCAGATGTAAAAATGCCTCTGCTTTTCCCATGCAAAAAAAAAAAAGAAAAAAAAAAAAAGCATATAACAAACACATGTTTTAAAGAAACAAAGCTATTCCATGAGAGGGGAACAGAGAAGGCAACTACTTGTCTGTCAACATAATGTAAGAAACTTACGTGTCACACAGATGTGTGTATCCACTTTCAGCAAAATCCTTGTTGGATTCACACAAACAAGAGTCCTTGACCACAGCACTTCATGCTAACACATTCGTTTTCATACAGACTTATGCATTTGTTCCTTCACCCAGGCATCCATGCAGACAAAACTGCGAAACAGCCAGCCAACCAACCAACTAACCAACATGATCCAAACACAACCAGACTGAACCAAAATGTGTATCTTGTGTAAACAATCACAAATCATTTTTCCTCTCTCTTCACACAGTTCACATTCCTGTCACAAATCAAAAGAAATTACATTATCTGATTGATGTCCAAGATACATAGACTACATTCTTGTTTAATAGTCCTGCTATTTATGTTTGGTAGCTCTTAATTTAAAAAAAGATGCTGTATCTGTTCAAATGTTTCTTTCGGGCAAGAAACTAATGTATTTTGTGCAGCATATACATATGTACATGTACAAGTATATATACACACATACATGCATTCACAATTACATTTAGCTGTGCCTACAGCTACATAATCTTTTGTGACTGTGCATGTTCAACATCTGTATTTGAATATAAATATTTTTAAACAATTAGCAGTCATTTTCATATGGTTAATACTGGAGATTTCTTCAACAGTACTGAGTAACATTAATCTTATTTATATTAATGCCAAACTTACTACATAATGTCACCCCCAATAAGAGCAAGTAACTGAGCTGAAGAGCACTATGTAATGTGAAATTGTGGGGAGCAATGTAAACAACTTTTACTCTACAATGAAGCAAAGAAACCCTTTAATGGCAAGCGAATTTTGTAAATTAAAATTAACCTAAAATTTTTTAACCTAAAATAATTTGTTTCCCAACAAAGTACTTTGTTCTTTGACCTGATGCCTACAGATACCATTTCCAAGTAACATATGACTGTGCTGTAGAAAAACTGTACTAGCTGGTTCACAGCATGACAGACCTAGAGATACTCACATACCACATACTAGGATTTAGCCAAGTAATTTCTTTTGCAAAATCTTCCTAGAATCTACAAGTGTTTATGCAAAATTTATTTTTATATTTCTCACTGGGTTATATTATGTTCAGACAATAGAAGCTAAAGTAATATTTCACTTTGCATCAATATTTCTATGGCGATAAAGCTTTTTATTTTTTGTAAGACAGTATCTCTATAGAGTTCTGTAAGGCAGCTCTACTTTGCTTTGCAATACTGAAAGGTGCTTAAATACCAAATAAATTTGATTTCTCAAAAAGCAGCTTATGCTTTGGTGTAGTTTTACACATTAAAATAAGTAAATCTTAAATTTATCTCACAGTCTACCTATTGCCTACATAAATCCATCTCTCTAGTACCAAATATATTTAATAAATGGTAAATAGAGCTGTCAAGGACTAAAGTCTTCATTTTTAAAAGCAAAAATAAGGGATAACTTCTGAGCAATAATTTATTATTAAATTCCAAATTTCAAGTATGAATGCAACTGCTTTTTATTTAAGAGCAGCTACATTAAAATATAAACCTATTCAAACATTTCTACTGGTCTGAAATCCTACAGAAACCCTTTCACGGAAGAATTTGCAAATTTAAAGATCAATGTGACGTTTTAAAGTGACAACAATAGCAGCTTACTAACTTACTTAACCAGTAGGAAATTTCTACTAAGATATTATATTGGATATAAATAGAGAATAACAACGTGAGCTATTCCAAAGAAAGTTCATTAATTTCTTAAAAGCGATTAGACCCTGAGTAAGTACCTAAAACCGCCACGATGCTCTGATCACCTGTCGATGCCGGAAGGATGGGGAGAGCTGTAACCAGTAAAATCAGCTGATGCTCGAAAGGTCTCGCCGAGAGAAGAGGATCTGGGAGGGTGGGAAAGGGCCGCTGCCTTCGGGGCTGCCGGGGGCCGTCTCGCCCCGCCCTGAGCCGCCTCCTCATCGCCCCCAGCACCCCCGGGACGGTACCGGCCGCCAGGAGGACCCTCCTCGGGCTTCTCTCTGCTGCACTGAAGTGGGCGCTGAAGGGTCGGGGTTAAGCACCAGTCGCCGCGGGGCACCCCCGTGCCTTCGCCGGCTCCCCGGAAAACCCGAATTTCCCCGCCGGAACAGCCCAGCCCCGGGCACGGCAGGTCCCTGTGCGACGTCAGCCCCCCCCCCCTTCGGGCCGCCCCCTCGGTGCGCACCGGCCGCTCCCGGCGGACAGCATACCGGAGCGCTCCGCGGCAGCGCAGGCTGGGCGAAAGGGACTGCGGGGCCCTGCCCTGGATACCCCGACGGGACCCTCTCACCTGGGGTCCCTCTGCAGGCTCTCCGCACACAGTGACTCCGCGGCACCGGGGTCCCCGCCGTGCCCCGTTCCCTGCGCGCAGCCGCTGCCAGGATCCCGCTGCGTCCGAGACCGCGAGGAGCGCTCACCCCACCGCCGGGGCAGGCGGGCCCCCAGCAGCAGCGCCGGCAGCCCCCGCCGCAGCAGCGCCCCTGCACCCTCCCTCTTCTGCCCCGCGCCGGTTCCCCGCCCAGAGCGGACCCCGGGAAACGCCTTCCGCAGCGCCTGCCCCTGACCCCCCCCGACCCGGCCCGTCCCCCTCCACTGGGCCCCGCAGAATCCATCCCGGGAGGTCTGCGAACGCGGGGAGGAGGGCTCAGTGAACGGGAGGGATTCCCCCGTGTAACGGCGCTGTACAAAGAGGAGTTTCTTTCAAAGTTGGGACAAAAACCCCCAACCAAACCGAAACCACCTCCAAAGCCTTCTTGCCAGTTGTCCTTTAGAGCATCTGACACCACTTTTGAATACAAGACTGTTCTCGGAGCTGCAGGTGTGGACAACAATGGCTTAAAATGAAAATTACTGTTTCATAGAAAGGGCTGGCAAAATTAGGGTTTTGTTTGAGGTATGAGACGGTTTGTTGCACAGCTGGTATGTAAAAGAAAACCATCAAACGTCTTGTCATAATCAAATATTCCCTAAATCCGGACTAGCAACATTGCTTTTGAAAGATGTCGTTCCATATAAATGCCTTTAACGCCTGGTAGAAAATTTTTATGAACATGTTGACAAATGAAATAACTCGGGTTATTTGATTAGTGTCCACGTAATCTGAATATCGGTTTGTACTGGGAAAAGAAACGTCAAGTCTTTAATGCTTTTGAAAGGCCGGATTTTCGCTGCAATTAAAGGGTAATCTCATACCAATAAAAAGGGTGGATCACTCTCTATGTATTATGTGCTAGGGAAATTAAAGAGGATGAAGTAAAGAGTTTGTATTTTCTTCAGTTCAGGCAAAAGGAACAGAGTTATAAAGCACCAGGGGGTGGGAAGTGGGGGCAACTCACTGCTGTGGGAAGGTTGGCATTTTTCCCGAGATGCCAGGGGAACCTCCTAACGCCTCGTTGGAAACACTTTCTGCTTTGGGGTGCAGATATCTGGAAAGAAACAGAAATGGACAATTTTCACTGCGCTTTGTATCGCTCGGACTCACATTTCTTCAGCCTTTATGCAGACAAGGCGAGTGAAGGGGTAACTGGACGTTGTCACCTGCCCTACGGAGCTCGAATCACTGTAAGGCAGTGCGCAGAAGTAACCTCTTTCGAGGCTGAGATCCGCATCTTGCGCTGAGCTCAGGGTTGGGTTGGTTTTCCTTCGAGCAATACCTGCACAAAAGAGGTCGGGGGCCCGATTCACAGGCAGCGCCAGGGCTGCGGGCCCGGCCCGGCTCTCCGCCACCCCTCCCCTGGGCAAGAGCACTAACACCCACCCCCCCCCTCCCTCCCCTCCCTCCCCCCCCCCACTCCGGTTCTGAACCTGTCCTTCTTGGCCTGTGCTTGTGACAGCTACCGGACGGGCTCAGGCAGATCGGAATTTTGTTGAACATCAGAGGCTGCGGAGCCGGAGGTGGCTCTGCAGGGAGACCCGCAACGCCCCACCCAGTCCGGCCCTGCTCGCCTCTGCCCTCGGGGCCAGGCCAGCAGGGAAGGGTCACTATCAGGGAGGCAAGCCCCACACCCTCCGTGGGATTCCTGCTCAGCACTAGCCGTGGCAGTTGCTAATCCCGGCGGTATCATCGCTTTTCATTGAATCATGGAATCATAAAATACCAGGTCAGAAGGGACCTCAAGGATCAGCTGGTCCAACCTTTCTGGGCAAAAGCACAGTCTAGACAAGATGTCCCAACATCCTGTCCAGCTGAATATTGAAAGCGTCCAACGCTGGGGAGTCCACCACCTCCCTGAGGAGATTATTCCAATGGCCGATTGTTCTCATTGGGAAAAATTTTCCTCTTCTGTCTAACGGGAATCTCTCCGGCAGTGATTTGTGCCATTCACCCCTCGTTAGTCTTTCGCTTATGCCCAACAAGAATTAAAGCATGCCCCCTTCGCCGGGGCCACACATCCTTTGGAGAAGGCAGACCGGGCAGCCTGCTCCCTTAGCAGAGTAAGATGATTTATCCGTGATCGAAGAAGGGCAACACACATTATCAGAAAATAGTTCAGCCAGATTTTTCTTTGTAGTGTCTTACTCTGCTTTGGACAGCCCATTGAGGTCTGCCGCGTTATTTTATGAAACAACCTGATCTTCACGGAGCACCGAGGGAATCTGAAGCTATTAGCACTTTCACTTCGCTCTGAACGGCCGCGGGAGGGGGACGCGGCTGCTCCGGGCGGCGGCAGCGGGGACGACCGGTCCCCTGCGGCGGCTCCAGGGGCCCCTGCGGGCTCCCAACGCTAGCGGGCACCGTCGAGGCCGAAGCCGGGCGGAGCGGGAGGACGGGGGATTCCTGCCGCCCAGCAGCCGCTTGCTCATTTTTCGTGAATGTCACCAGGGAGGATGTGGGTTTTCTGTATTTCTCTATGATCTAAGTAATCGCTGGGTCTCGGCTGGCCAATGCACAAAAACCTTTAAAGTGGTCAGCTCAAGCAGTACATTCAGCTTCTAGCTGTGCATAGTTAAAACCGGGAGAGAGGCTGAAAACCGGTGGACCCTCCAATTTTTATTGATAAGTCCCCGACCTCCGCCGCGGTTGGATGTGTCTGAACTCGGTCCAGCACAGAAACAAGGGAATGAAACCGAGATGCCTTCCCCGCAGTGCCAAACTTTATTTCAGACTGAGGGTTGAAAACCACCGCACAAAACATGCCGAGTGCTGCTGGAGGAGGCACCGGCTCCGACGGGGAAGAGTGATGCGCGGCGGAGGCAGGCGCCCCGCGTCCACGCGTGTCCTTGTCGGACGTCGAGAGAAAGAACATCCTACTGCCTCCCAGTGGGGCCGCAGCCCTACCGCCGGACCGGCGGGGGCCAGGACACAGCTGCCGTGTGGTGCACACACCCTCCCCCGCAGCAGCCCGTCCAGTTCCGTTCCGCAGGGCAGTGGGTTGAGCCCTCCCCCGGGTAGGCCGTGCGCCCCCCCAGTACCATTGTGCCTGGAGGTGGAGGTGTCACTTTTTGCTGCTGGCAGGTAGAAACGGCTCCTGGCCGGAGCGTTATCGCTCGGCTTCCCGGGAGAAGAGGCTCCCTGCGAAGCCGATGGGTGTTTGAGGGGGGCTACTGCCTGGTGGGGCAGCGTGCCAGTGCCCCACGGGGAATGGATTCCCTAGACCTTGACTCATGTTCAAAAGCCTCCCCCCCCACCCCAAGAAAGAGAAACGTCTAGTCCCAACTTTGTCATGCAAAGTGACTCCGGTCTCATCCCTCCCCGTGGCTCTTTTCATTAATTAGAGCCTGCAGAGGCTGTGGGGGAGGGGGAAGCGGCTGGAACCCACTAATTATTCAAACTTTGGAGACAGCATCCAGATGAGCTGGGTCAGCTCTTCAAGGCAGTGCATTGTATCCTGTGTGTATCAGGCGCGGAGAGATAATGGTACTGTGCAAAGCCTCCATTAGGAGATTTCTTTTCATCATCACTCATTGCCTGCAGAGTAGTGCAGACTTCAACATTAAGGGTTTGTCTTTTTTGCCACGGAAAAAAAACAGTTTTCTGTGGCGCGAGAGGGTTGTGAAAACCTGCCCTTGCCCCCGCCCCCAGGAAATAACCTTTTTTAATTACATCCATCTTCTACAACTAAATTTTTCGCAACATTCCCCTCGCGTCGGCCCCCACTCCCGCTCTGTCACAGCTTTTTGCAATGACGCCCATCTCCTTACAGAAACTTCTTTCCTCCTCGCTGGCTGACACCTCCCACCCCCGGTCAACCCCGGGACCCCCGCTGTTCCCCGAGTCCGTGGGCAAAAGGCAGAGAGGGACGTGAGGCTGGCCCCCCCTTCCCGCCTCTGGCGGTCCCCGTGCCCCAAGGGCCGCTGCAGAGTAACGCGCCCCGGCGGGGAGATGCTGCTCTCCTATTCCCGCTGCGGCTGCCAAGCGTCCCACGAGCAACCGAAGGGGAAAGGAGGGAGGGACGCCCGCCAGGCGCCCGCGGGCGGTGACGGGGCTGGGGAGCAGCGCTCCCTAACTTTGCTTTTCTACTCGCAGCAGCCTTTCCCACCTCGGTATCCCGGAACAGGAAAGTCCCAGTTCAGCTTGCCCCCATAAGTCTCCCTCCCCTCCGCTCCCCTCCCTCTGCCCCTTCCTGCCTCTGGCCCTTGCGAGAGAAGCCGCTTCTCTCCGTGCAGGACGGGTTTGAGCCGCCGAGGCGGTGGGGGTATGGCGACGGGGCTCTGGGTATCGTCCGGCTGGGTCAATCTCCAGCCCTGAGCCAGCAATCCGCTACCCGGAGGGCACGGCTGCCTTGAGCCCGCGGGACTGAGCTGAGATCCTGAAGTTAGGGGTTTCTTTGTTTTGTTTCTTTTCCTCCTCTCTGTCCTCGGTGCTTACAAAGAGCCAGTGAGGTTTGCAGAGAGAGAGAGACTGGGGGAGGAGGAAGAATTAAGTAAGGGAAAAGATGGCGAGTTGCAGGAGTAGCGTGGAGAAAGCAACATTTTTGTGCTGCTTCTTGCTGGTAATGGGGATCCTAACCTCCTGCGCCCGGCCTGAGGAGGAGGAAGAGCAAGAAGAGCAGCGCTCCTGTCACGGTGCCTTTGATCTCTACTTCATCCTGGATAAGTAAGTGACAGTCGCATTTAAAAACGTTTATTTACCCTTCAGTGCCTCCTTGCAGCAGCGGGGATGGTCTTTCCCCCGTGTCCCCGAGTGTCTTCCCCCACCTCTCCTGGTGCCAAACGTGATGTGTAGGGCAGGGTTCTTATTTTCGCTCCCCAAAATTTGCTTGCTTTTCAAGCAGAACGTTTAGGAGAGCACTGTGCTTTGTCCTAGGGTAGCTGCACATACAGACCCAGGAAACCGGGCCACCTTCAGGTTGCAGGTGTGGTGCATGAGCTGTGAGCGTTGGGTTTGAGGGGATGTTGGTTAGTGCCCCCAGCACTCCTGGAGCTTGGTGCCAAGACTCAAGCTAAATGCTGAGTTGTCGCCTGTGGGATTTGGCTGTGCCAGGTCTGTGCAGACCTACCTGAAGTTAAGGCTGGACTGCTTCTATGTGGTGGTTGCTTTTTTACAGAGCTTGTTTCTGCTCAGCTTCTTTGGAATTGTCTAAGCCTGTGTTTGGGTTACATCTATTAAAATAGGTTGGCAAACACTTTAGTACTGTGTTAGCCCAATTTAGGCATGGCCAGAGGGTGTGGTTAGACTCACATTCATAGGCATGTTATAGCAAGCTGTAGCAAAGTGAGAGGTAAACTGGTTCACCCACAGGTGTTCTTCAGAAGGCACAAATTTCTGTTTCTCCTGGTGCATTGCTCTGACTTGACAGCCAAGGGTAAAACTCAAGGAGTGTGATGGCTGAGTTATCTAATACATCCTGGGTTATATATAAGATGTGGTATTATGAAAGACTGAAGCCTTTTCTTTGTGATTCCTGACCACAAGCCAGGTATGAAGTCTGCATTGTGCTGTTTCTTGGTTGGGAGAACTGTTCAGTCCATTGGGCCCTTTGCACAGCTCACACAAGGCAAAAAAGCACCATCACTGTGGAGTCAGTATATTCCCATATTCAGAGCAAAGGCATCTGAAGACCAAAGGCGTTCTGCCTTTCTAAAAGGCAGTAACACACCATGTGGTCATTGTTTTGTTTTCTTTCACTAAGAACTTGTTCCTGAAGTAACCTTCATGTCTAGAAAGAGCTCGGGGGGGGGGAGGGTAGTGTTAGTTCTTAACTGGATTCTTGCAAGGCTTTTCCAAAGTGACTCGTACTGTTGTTATGCTCACTTCCCATATTGAATTTGCTGCAACAACGAATGTTGGTGATTGCAACGTGGTTCTCTCTGTGACATGATTCTGCAGTGCAGTTTGCTTGTTTATATTGGCTTTGTGTACCCCTGGCAATGGCCACACTGTGATCAGAAAGCACTTTACTTGATTGATGGCTGTTATCACTCATTTTGTATTTGGGGAAATCAAGGCAGATAAGAGAGTAATTTGCTCAGTAACTGATATGTCAAGTAATAGAAAATTGGTTGTATAAGCAAGTGCATTTTTAGTACTGTGGATATGAAATGGTATGTTTTCTTTTAGTAGGCTGTAGGTCTTGTATATTGGCTCAGGTGCTGTCCATTCTGTACAGTGGTCCATTGGAGACTCAACCCGAATGTGTTTGAAGGAAAAGTCACGCACTTCAGCTCCAGTGTGAAAATTCTCTTTGGCTTCAGTTGCAAACTGAATCTTTAAAACCTTTGACAGTTATACCAAACAGTTCCTCTTTGTTAAAAAGTGGTAGTAGAAGTTCCTCAGGCACCTGAGTGGTTTTAGAATCCATCCCTGCTCCTATCAAGTCTGTGGCAATGTGGTGGCAAAGCTGCTTTTGGCCTCAATGAGATTGCATTACTATCCATATGGGTACTGTTAGAATGCCAGACCTTAGAAGCCATAAGTCCCATGACAGCTGAGAGTGTATTTAGTCACAGCTGTATTTTGTGACATCTGGCATAGCACTGGGAGCTTTATAGAGGCAGGGAGGATTGACTGAGTGGATAGACACTGGATCTTGAAGCAGAATCCAGTATCTTCATCAGGAAGGAACCAGGTAATCCATTAGTGTTGAGAAGAGTCAGGGTATTCCTGGTAGAGAGAAGGCAGGAAGCTAGTCAGAAGCAGCTGGTCAAATTCGAAAATGCAGTCGGCATCTTTTATTTTTTTCTTTAAATTGGTTCCGTGCTGCCACATATATGGGAAGAATACTGGCTCTAATTTGTAGTGGGAGAATCCCCAGAAAAACCAAGCCCTCTACACCACAGAGTATCCCCACATGGCCTGGGTATTGCCTCCCTTCATTGGTGCTTTGCCAGTCAGGAGTTAGATGCATTCAGTCTTAATTAGCTGTCTAACAATGGGATTGAAGCATTGGCTCTGTGAAAAACTCCAGGCTTTAATCCTGTGACCCTGTATTGTGCTCTTTAGCTGAATGGCAGTCCCTGTCTGAAGTCAGCCTGGGTGTGGACCTAAATGACTTTAAATCTGCTTTGCTTTGCTTCCCCATAGAAAGATGTAATCTTACATCAATAGGAGGCAAATTGGAATAAGACAACAAGCCTTTCTCCTTACGCATGTAAGCACTGTGTGTTACTGCAATGACTTTATTGGGACATGATTTTTCTTTTTCATTCTGCCAGGCAAAGTCTCTGGGGATTTAATCCTGCAGGCAACAACCCTCAGATGGAAAAGATCATCTGCTGGTGAAGTTATTGATATAATATATATGCTGCCAATTAGTGAAAGAAACTCACTGATTTCTTACAGTTTTTCTCAGCTTGAAGTTGATTGCACCCTTTATGTTAACTCCATAGGATAGGCAAGATCAGAGCAGTGGAACGAAGCCTTGGATGAGCAAGAAGCTGGCAGGGTGAAAGGGAAAAGCAGCATGTATGGGAGGGATATGTGCCACCATCCTCCTTAGGATTGTCTGACTATGCCAGAGCCACATTAGGACTGCCTGGTTTCTGGGGATGCTTCTCTTGAAGCTGGGAGAACTGGACATTAGCTGGCCACAAAGGTGGTTGCCTGGAATGTGCAATCTTGTGCTGTTTGCATGTCATAGTTTGAGTTACGAGACTTGAGCTTGTTGGAGTAGTAGAAGACTTTAATGTATCATACTGAAGCAGCAGAAATTTTTCTGTTTTTAGCAAAGTCATTCCCTCTGCATGAGGTAAGGCAGTATACAGTGCAGCTGGCATACCCACCTCTCCTATGGCATGCAGTTAAGATCAAGTCACATGTGGTACCTAAGATCCCAAAGATCTTACCTTTAAACAAACGTAGCTCTGAAGCCCAGCATAATGAATAGTTCTGTATTTCTCACTTGCTTTGGTTGTTTCATTTGCCTTGCTTACCCAGGTGCTTGAAGAAATTGTTTCAGTCCCAACCCAAACTGCTGGAGGACAGATCCTTTTAGGGATTTGAGTGCTTGACTGTCAGGTCTTATAGTGACATCCTTGTGCTTGAGCATGTAAATAACTTCCTTTCATGCCTGCCTTGCTGTTGACATCTGACTGTTGTTTGTAATCATATTGAAATGCACTTGCGCAGCAGAAAGGATGAGTGACCTCTAGTGTTTTCTAATTATAACAGTGCCTGGTAGCATCATTATGATTGTTTATTAGTGCAACAAATAGAAACCCTTTTAAAGTAAGGACTTACAACTGCCATAAATATCTGCTGCTGGCAATGCTTGACATGACAGATCTGAGCTGCAGAGCTGTCTGTGTTTTATATTTACCCAGTATGAAGAAATGTCTTTGATTATTGTTTTCACTTTAGGACAGGATGGAAAATTGGGGGTGGGGGAACAATGCGAGATAGAGGGAAGTATTTTCTTATTTTCCTGCTGGGATGTTTTCTAAGAAATTATTTTTATTTTGAGGAAAAATGATCTGCACAGCCTTGGGAAAATGTTTTCTTTTCCCACAGCAGACACCATGGCAGCACAAATGTCTTGAGTAAGGCCCTGGCTGATTTTCTTTTAGAGCAGTGATTATAATGTTTTTTGGGGGGAAGATGCTGGCCTGACTAATATTTATCCACTCCTCATCTTCCCCCTGAACTTCTGGATAGTAACTCTTCATGGTATTCCCATCTCTTAGGCCCACAACAATATTGCCTTTCACATCAATTTTGCTTTGTCTCCTGTGCTCCTGAGAGCATCCCTGTCAACACCAACTTTGGTAAAGACATCAGTAAAATATGGCCAGCTTCTCACTTGTAATCCATTTACCAGCTTCCTCTCTTTAAACTTGGTAAGCTTTGCTCCGAGGTGAATGTTCATGGTTGGGAGCTGGTGGGGAAGTGTACAACCTCTAATTATATGGGAAATTAGCTACTGTGTCTCAACTGCTTCCTGGTTTTGAGGTTTGGGTCTGTGTCAGCCCACCCAACTTCCCTTTGAAAAGCCAGTTTTGTGGAGGAGGGAGGGAAACAGGTTGATGCTTCCTAAGTCGCTGCAGGCGAGCCAGAAAAGCTACTGGAACAAAAGGGATTTCAAAATCTGCTGTTCTGGACCAGCTTTTATCATTTTAAACCAACGGTAATGAGTTGTTGATCTCCACCTTGGGTTTGTTGTGTTGTGTTTTTTTTTTTCTCTTTTTCACAGTATGCCATATTTAAAGCAAAGAAAGAGAGTTTGGTAAACACATTTTGTGTCCCTCCCTATCCCTATTTCCTTGCCAATGATTTGAATGAATTTAGCACTCATGAATTACAAGTACTAGTGAGAGCAAGTATTTTTTGCCTTAGGCTCTCACTCTGCCTCTTTTCCCGTACTTGTGTAATCTCAGCCCAAGAATGTTAGGATGGAGCAGGACCTATGGGAACTTCTGCAGCTTCTCTCTCTGTGCTATCTTGGTCTGATGCCGTTCTTGTTGTGCTGGTTTTACACAGCACGTGAGGTGGGGAAGAGTGTGGCTAAGAACGTTGTTGTGGTTGGAAATCAGACTGCTGGCAAAGATAGGTGCCTGAACACATATGCTGTCACCTAACTTAATTGCATTTGAAAATCTGTGTTGACTGACTAAAACTACTGCTGAACTCCTTTTTTTTTTTTTTTTCTTTTTCTTTCATAA